GATGAGGTCTCGCCTGCCCAGGCAGGTCTCGAACCCGCGGACTCAGGCAATCCACTCACCCAAAGGCGTGGGATTACAGGCTGAGCCACCGAGCCCGGCCTGGTTCTTGCTTTTTTAAAATTTTAATTAAAAAAAAAAATTTTTTTTAACATATACAAAAAAATATTTTTTTTTGAGTTGGAGTCTCACTCTGTCACCCAGGCTGGAGTGTAATGGCACGCTCACAAGCATCGCAGCTTTGACCTGTTGGGCTCAGGTGATCCTTCCACCTCAGCTTTCCAAGTAGCTGGAACTACAGGTGCGTGCTACCATGCCCAGCTTATTTTGTTTATTTATTGTAGAGATGAGGTCTCACCAAGTTGTCCCCGGCTGGTCTTGAACTCCTGAGCTTAGGCAAACCTCTCGTTTTGGATTACAGGCTTGAGCCACCAAGCCCGTTTTTTTTTTTAATTTTTATTTTTAAAAATGCGGGGTATAATTCAGGGTTAGGTATATAAAAGCTCATTATGCAGTTACCCTTGTTGGTTCTTGCTTTTTATTACTTATCACCTCCTAGACATCATCCCAGTCCACCCTGTCTAAAATTGCCCCCAGCTTTTCTCTTATGGTTTCTAATTTTATATCCTTCATGTGCTTGCAATTTCTGGTATTTCCTCATTTATCTACTTGTTTACTCATTATGCTAGATGAAACCACGGCAACATAAGCTCCATTGAGCAGGGGCCTTACCTGTGTTGCTTACCATGGAATTCCTGGGATCTAGAATAACATCTGGTTTTGAGTGGACACTCAAAAATATTGTTAAATGAATAAATTACTCCAATGCTCATGCTATTTTTTTTTTTTTTTTTTGAGTTGGAGTTCTCACCCTGTTGCCCAGGCTGGAGTGCAGTGGCATGCTCATGACTACCATAGCCTCGACCTGCTGGGCTCGGGCGATCCTTCAGCCTTAGCCTTCCAAGTGGCTGGAACTACAGGCATGCACCACCATGCCTGGCTCATTTTTTGATTTATTGTAGAGATGAGGTCTCACCAAATTGCTCAGGCTAGTCTTGGACCCATGGGCTCAGGCAATCCTCTCACCTCGGCCTCCTGAAGTGCTGGATAGGCACGAGCACCGTGCGCGGCCAGTACTCTCGTGCTCTTAATCTCTGCTCTCTGTGAGTTCCCCCTAATTATAGTATTAGTGTAATTATAGCCATGATGTAGTTATATGCTTTATGTCTTACACTGTTTGCTATAGTTTCATTCACACTCAGATTCAACGAACGTGTGTACATGTGTTCAATCACTGATTCACAGGGACGGGTGTTGGTTTGCCAGCTCCAGCGTGTGGTCAAGAGACGTCTGCATTTTCCATTCCATCCAGCAGAGGACAGCACACAGAGCCCTGGGATAGCAGCTGTTCAGTGAAGAGATACTTTGTGCCTCTGAGTGGGCTGGGAGATGTCCAGTGCACTCTTCTCTGCTTTGTTGAACATTCTTCAGAACAGCCTGAGTCTGGAATCAAAGTGTTCAGGTTTTTCTACACCTCCTGACAATTCAGCTGCTGATTTTCGCCCAGTGTAAGTCCTGAGACTGTTGGCATTTTCTGGAGGTTCTAGGCTTGCAGCCCACCTGGGCTGGAAATAACCAGAAGCCACAAGGTGTTAAAAACAAATTAACTCCTTCTTGAGATTATTTTCTATCTGGTTAAACTGAAGAACTGAAAAAGCACTTACATTGGCAACATTATGAAAAGAATGTTGAGTGGTTGGCCAATATATTTTTTGCCTGGAACACATTTTCTTGAATTTTAATATTTAAGGAACTCTTTGGACATTGTCTCCAGAAAGAGGAAGGACTCTTCTGATAATGTATCAGGATGCATATGAGGTAGGCAAATTGGGCTGCCACAAAAAGACAGAAACACATACTCACAGAAACACACACACACACACACACACACACACACGTGTCCACACACACATACACACACACACAAAAGTCAGTAAGTCCAAACACACTCTCTTACACAGAGTCTTAAATTCTCATGAATTTATGTTCATATACCAGCCTTATTTCACAAGGGATTTATATTGTCGATAAACCTATATAAGAGCCAAAAACTCAGCATGAAAAATGGAAGTAAAATAAAAAGATAGTAAGAAGGCAACATAAAATGGAGCTAAGTGGTAGTTAAAAAGTTCATTCACATTGCACTGTATACATATTTTCTGGGTGGGTTACAAATTTGCCTTTAAATTTTCTTGCCACCAACACTAAAACATTAATTCAGTTTCAAGATGTGAATGAATAACAACCTAGTATTTCTATAATTGATACATAAGCTATATTAGCAAGCACAACTGTATTCAAAGACATGTCAAGATAGAATATAATCAAGAATAACAAACTCATTACTACACATTTCTAAAACACTTAGAACGATATTTTGAGTTCTTAAAAACGACCGGTATTCCTTTTCTTTTCTCTTTACAATAGTCCTAGAAGAAAAGTTCCATATTAAAAAACCTTTAGGTCAGGCGCAGTGCCTCATGCCTGTAATCCCAGCACTTTTGGAGGCTGAGGTGGGAAGATTGCTTGAGTCAGAAGTTTGAGATCAGCCTGGGCAACATAGTGAGACCCCATCTCTTAAAAAAAATTGAAAATACAAAAAGGCAAAGAAATGAAAACTATTGAAACACTTACGTGTCATCTATAAATGTTATCCCAAAGTATTCCTTTTCTTTCAGGTTGAAATGTGAAGCCACGAGGTCCAGCAACTCTCTTGATAAAAGTTTGGGCTGTCAATATAATAATCTGGTTAGAAACAATTTGGTTATCTCTCTCTCTCTCTCTCTCTCTCTTATTGCTACCACCTCCTCTGCCCTGAAGACTTTAATGCAGCTTTTGTTCATTTTTAAATACCTGCCTCTGTCTGCGGATTAGATTGATCCACTATAGACCATTTTCCAAGAGTTGTGGGGAGAAGAGGAAATGGTAAGAAGACTATCAATGAGATCATCATTTTCATGTATTTGCAATTCACTCAAGTGAATTTCCCTTTAAGGTAACAGTGTGCTCATGTTTTGAAAAAAGTACTCTGTTATATGTTACATGGTACTAGTGCAAGACAAAGAATATTAAACATCTTACTGCCTGTCTATCTATGATACTTTAAAAGGACTGCAGGAATAATTTTGTTTGGTGGTGGCAGGTTAAGGAAGCTCAGGATCCACCCTGTGGGGCTGCACATAGAACCACCCAGCAACAACGACAGTAACAGTTTCCATTTTTATGCTGATCTCACATCCATTATCTCATGTAATCCCCATAATGAGCCTATGAGGTAGGGTTTTTTTATTCCATTTTATAGAGGAGCCTACCAAGGCCAAGAGGGGTTAAGCCCCTCACCTGACATTATGCTGTTAGTAAGGGCAGAGATTTGAATCCAGTCCTGTCTCATTCCAAAGCCTAAGCTTTTCCTTTCTAAGGATGGAGCAACCGTACCCATTCATCAACAGTAATGAGCACCTACTAAGAAGAAGGACCTATCTATGAGCTTTTGGAAGCATTGGCCTAGTGGGAAGAACAGAGCTCGAAATTAGCCAGAATGTCCAGAGTGATCAGAGATTTGCAGGGATTGAGGAAGGAAAGAGGATTGCAGGAAGGCACTCTACATGGATTCTTTTTGAACTTTGAGCCAAATAGTTTAGGGTACACAATGGTGCTTTGAAGGTTGGATATTTGCTATTGGGAGAGAAAAAATGGACATGTCTTGAAGACAGAAAAAGCAAAAAGAAAAGAAATAGGCAGAGATCTAACCCAAAAGGTCTACTTTGGTGAAACTACTGTTGACTGTACTGTTTCACTCTAATTGAAGCCTAAGCATAGTGGGCTAGAAAGGAATGGAAAAGAATTTAGGTTTGGTCAGAGGAGAAAATTCTAGCCTAGCTATAGGTGTGGCCTGTTTGCAGGGACTTCTACAATTTTGTAAGGCTTCTGGTCTAGAGTGTTGGGGAATAGAAAGAGAAGTATCAACAATTAAAAATACCATCACTCACACACTGCCATATATTTTACAAAGAGATTTCACTCATATATATATATAGTCAAGCTTGATTTCAACCATAATACTATGAAGACTAGGTGGTCTTGATCTCAGTTCATCGTTGATGAAACTAGGTAGTTAACTTGCACAATGCCATGTAGCTGGAAAGTGGCAGAATGCAGATTCTCACCTCACAATAACTCTTTCAAAGAAGTAGTATGGATCCTAAATTACCAACAAGAGGTTCAGAGAAGTCAAGTCACTCGCCCAGGGTCACATAGCTATTTAGAGTCAAGCTGAGATTGGAACTCAAGTGTCTCTGAATCCATGTCACCAGGCTATAATTACTCTTAGGTCAAGACCAAGTTTTCTGACTTTGAAGCTGCTTTTCCCCCCCTCAATCAATCCCAAGTCATTGGCTTTGAGACCAGACAAGAGAGCAGCTTGAACACAAACTGGGAGTCTCACGGGGGGAACTAGGATGGGCTGTCCCTGTGTGGGCAACACTTACCTGAACCAGCAGCTCCAGTCTTCTGTCATCCAGGAGGTGTACCTGGCAGTGCCTGCCTTCTGTCATCTGTGGGAACAAGACAGGAAGAGTGTTGTCAGGGCCAGGGCTAGCAAGCAAACCCTTGCACTTACTGTATTATTTATTTATTTATTTATTTTGAGTTGGAGCCTCACTCTGTCGCCCAGTTTGGAGTGCAGTGGCCGCTCCTGGCCACCACAGCCTCGACCTGCTGGGCTCCGGTGATCCTTCCGCCTCAGCCTTCCGAGTAGCCGGAATTACAGGCATGCGCTACCACGCCTGGCTGATTTTTTGATTTATTGTAGAGATGAGGTCTTGCTGCCCAGGCGCGTCTCGAACCCGCGGGCTCAGGCAATCCACTCACCTCAGCCTCCCAAAGGCGCGGGATTACAAACTGAGCCACCGAGCCCAGCTTCATTTATTTTATATGGGATGTGCTCAGTCTAAAAACGGCTTCAGTTGAGTTAATCAACAGACTTGGCTAGAAACAGATTTATTATATGACATTAACTGGATTTAAAAGAAGAAAAGGGCTGGGCATGGTGGCTTGCATCTGTAATCGCAGCACTTTGGGAGGCCAAGGAGGGAGAATCACTTGAGCCCAGAGCCTGGGCAACATAGTGAGACCTTGTCGCTACAAAAAATAAAAAAATTAGCCAGGTGTGATGATGTGTGCCTGTAGTCTCAGCTACTAGGGAGGCTGAGGTGGAAGGATTGCCTGAGCCCAAGAGGTTGAGGCTGCAGTGAACCGTGATTGTGCCACTGCACTCCAGCATAGGAGAAGAAGAAAGAAGAAAGAAAGAAGAAAGAAGAAGAATGGAGGAGGAGGAGAAGCAAAAGAAGGAAGAGAGGAAGAAGAGGAGGAAAATAAAAAAAGCAAAGGCTAGTATATATATTGAAAAAAACTGCACCATGAGGGAGAGCATAAAAAAAAGAAAAAAATTGAATAAATAATGCCTGTAGAGCATATTGAGTTTGAACAATGCACCCAAGATTATACTATGAAAATTGGTTTCCTTCCCAGAGGACACTACTGCATTTTTTCTTTAATCAAAGTTTTATTTTCCAAATGAAAATATCTTTTATCACTGGGGTGTTTGTTTTTTTTTTTTTTTTGAGTTGAAGTCTCACTGTCTCCCAGGCTGGAGGACAGTGGCATGCTCACGGCCACCTCAGCCTCGACCTGCTGGACTCAGGTGATCCTTCTGCCTCAGCCTTCCAAGTAGCTGGAACCACAGGCATGTACCACCATGTCTGGCCAATTTTTTGATTTACTGTAGAGATGAGGGCTCGCCAAGTTGCTCAGGCTGGTCTTGAACCCAGGGGCTCAGGCAATCCTCTCACCTCAGCCTACCAAAGTGCTGGGATTATAGGCATGAGCCACCATGCCTGGCTCACTGGTGTGTTTTATTAAATATAATACATACATAGTTATAAGAAGAAAAGCAAACAATACTAAAGTTAAAATGAAAAGTCTCGCTGGGTGCAGTGGTGCACTCCTATAGTTCCGCCTACCTGGAGGCTGAGGCAGGAGCATACTTTGAGCCCAGGAGGCTGAGGTTAAAATGAGCTGTGACCACACTGGTGAGTAGCTACTGCACTCCAGCCTGAGCAACAGAGCGAAACCTCATCTCTTTTTTTTTCTGAATTGGAGTTTCACTCTGTCTCCCAGGCTGGAGTGTAGTGGAACGCTCATGGCCACCACAGCCTCGACCTGCTGGGCTCAGGCGATCCTTTCGTCTCAGTCTTCCAAGTAACTGTAACTACAGGCATGCACCACCACACCTGGCTAATGTTTTGATTTATCGTAGAGACAAGTTCTCACTGTGTTGCCCAGGCTGGTCTCGAACCCATGGGCTCAGGCAATCCTCTCACCTCCACCTCCCAAAGTGCTGGGATTACAG